AAAGTGTAAGATAATTCTGGTCTCTATATTTGCAGATGTTCTGGTGTGAGTAACTGATACGTGAGTAGAATTGTTCCTTACAAGTGAATATAGTCATACTGCATTTTGACAAATTCCACAACCAATTGTTCTGCTGTGAAAGACAAATGTCAAAATTATGAATGACTCCATTTACCTGTAAATGCTTACAAACATTGCTCAAGACAGTTGCATCTTGGGAAGTGCTTTTATATGTCTAGCAAATACTCTTCTGCAAAGGGTAACTCATACTACTTAAATTATCAAGAGTTAAAATAGTGTATAAGAAAGCCTATATCCTTATTACTATCTTAAGTGTTCTGCCTTGTTTGGCAAGCAAGAATATATGTTTGTCACCTTGCCTTTCAGTTTGGAGAAACAAGCAGCTATTGGTTATTGTGACAGCTGGGAAATGTAAGTGTTCAACTCATTTAACTAATAAGTTAGTGTATGCACAATCAATACTTATTTTCTCTTAATATCAAAAGCCTGAATATAAACTGCTTAGCTGCATGTTTTCCAAAAGCATATAAATAGAAGGATGGATGCAACAATTGCATTAGCATGAATTAAAATTAAAATATGCACTGAATGTGAGGGAAAAAAAATCAGTGTTTTCATTCAACTCTTCCCCAGCAGCACTACATAAAACCAAATATGTAATTTCTACATCCAACAGCATATATGCTCCAAAAATGTTAAATATTTTATTGATAATTTAGCTTAGTGAAACAAAATTCTGCTAACTTTTTTCTCCTATAGAAAGAATTTTCTTTTTTCACCTGATTCCAGACTGACACTGTAGAAGCCTTAATCCCACACTCTATAAACCATGCACAGCACAATTTCAAGTCACAATTAAAATGTTGGTTTGGAAAACAGAGAACACAAAGCAAATTATTTCCTGCACATGGCACATGACAGATTTCTTGCACCATTCAGCATGTGCAAATTACTGAAAAGGAGATAATTACATAAATTCTGTTGTTTAAAGTGAAGGAACATCCCTTATCACTGTGCAACCCTTCAAAAATGCATTGGGAAAGGCTATTTTATAACACAGATCAATGAAAAAGTGCTTCAAATGGAGAAGTTAGCATCAGAGAGCTTACATAGCAGAATTCCCCTTCACTAGTCTACAGCTTTCCAAAACCGTATCAGTGTCTTTAGCTGCTGGTTTATACTACACTAAAACCAGATAGAATGCAAACCAAATATTAATGCATCCTAGGGAAGCGTAAACTCTTAATTAGAGTGTGGCCTTGCCTATTACTCTGCTGTTTCACAGCATTTAGGGTGATGATCTTTGATCCTACTTGGTCATTTGCAGCTAAGTCAAGATGCTTTCTACTTGTGCAGCTGCTGGCTGCAATTCAACTCTGCCTCACAAACAATACAGCCACAGTTTACACCTCCATCCCATGATTTCTTCAGAAAGGTCCATTCAGAGCAACAAAGCCCTCTAAAGCTCTACCCTCAGAGATTTGCCATCATTTCTTGTCAAAGCTGGGTTTCATAGCTTGAGTCCTCTGATAACTGCAGCAACACAATTTCTGCAGTTGCATTCTGCTGCCTCCAACCAGAAAAAAAAACACAGTGAATGAATTTACCTCAACTGCCAAAAGACTGTGTAGACATGACCTTGATACAACTCTGTCCCAATTCTTAACTTAGGCCTATGAACAGTACTCACCACAACTTATGTATAAGGCTATGGCACATTTCCAAAGCAAAATGGAATGTGCCACTTTTCGAATTAATGCAGTGGGATTTATAGATGATTTCCATACTTCCTCCAGCTCGTTCAGTCCCCTGCACTCCTATACTTTACCTTATAACATTGGGGGCTTTTTATACAATCCTTTTTCCATAAGTTGTACTTTTTGCTATTGCACTTCATCATCAATTGCATTATTTTCAATACATCTTAAGAAAATAAAAATTAGAGTAATTCACAGAAAACTTCTAGAAAAATTTCACATTTAATGTATAAAGCTCACTCAAAGGCCATTGGTCTGTCTGGTATGATTGCAGCTCACAGAGTGGAGGCATGCTGAACGAAAGTTTAAGCCACTTCAGGAGCTGGTATACTGGAAGTTATGAACTATAAAAATTATGTCAGCCCAAGAACTAGACTGGAGCCTTCTAGCAGATATTTCATTTAATTGCATTTCAAAACAAATAAACAATCTCCCACTTTGTGTTTGTTTCTTGGCCCATGAAAGCTCTAGCCACAAGGCACAAATCAAAGAAGGCAAAGGCTGGGACTAGGAGAATGAAGAACTTGTCATGGAGGGAGGAGAACAGGTTTGAGACCATGTAAGGAACCTGAAGGTGCACAAGTCCATGGGACTTGATGAGAGGAATCTACAGGCCCTAAGGATGGTGGATGAAATGAGCCAACAGCAGTGTGGTGCCAGCTGGGGTTAAACCATGACCCATCTCATCGTATATCTTTGTAGAAAGCCACAGTTTGATTCTGTTCAAACCCACAACAATCACAAAGTCAGTTACAGAGACCTCCACAAGATAATTCCACCTTATTCTCATAGAATTCTCACAAAGAACTATGACTTTAACAGTACAAATTGCCTGGAGATACCTGTATTTTTCCTTTGATTTTTTTTTTTTTTTTTTTTTTTTTTGTTATAGAGAGAGAGAGCTTGACCAGATACCTAATTCTAAAGAACTTAAATCAGGTGTGGTTAATGCTCTGATGACACTGAGTTGGGAATGATGAGCTATAAATGTGCAGTATCTGTTCTTCCACAGATGAGGACAACAATGGCTAAATGAAAAGAAATCATAGAACACTTTTTACTATGTGAAGTATTAAAAATCCCTTTAAAATGTATTTTATCTTTGCTTCCATGTATTTTCATAGTCACTAAATGCTAAGTGGTAGCATGGGACTACTTATGCTTTAAATTTAATGTGCATGCTCAGTTCCAGTATATGCAGTCAGTACTCCATTTTCCATTTTCAGCACATTTTAAAAGATGTGAACTGGTTGAAGAAGACCCACACCATAATGATCTGAAGTAACATCAAGAACAAGACTTCTCTCAGCTCAGACAAGGGAGTCAGAGTTCTAAATATTCTATTCCACCCCAGTGCAACTGTTCTGAAATAGACAGACTGGGAAATATGATCCTCCATCATCCCAAATAACTTGGGTGAGATCAACTTAGTCTTGCTCTTAATACCCTAATCAAAGGTCCAGCACCTAAAATTTCCCATTACAACAGACTTACAAGATGAAGCTCTTCCAACATGAAGACCTCCCTCTTACCTTCCACGGGTGACTGCGAAACCTCCAAGAACAGTCTGAAGCTGCTGGGTAAAACAAGAAACCCCACTGCTTTCATCATTTTTGTACCACATATGCATGTATGTATGTTTCCATGTACTAATATATTTCCCTCTGGCATCATTTAAAGGCCCTAGAAATCCTTTCTGCTCTGTTGTTTTTGTTGTTTGTATACTAATAAACATCTTCATAGAAGTAAGTTTCCCCATAAACATAGCATATTTGTATTGACTCAAAAGGACTTTCTTTATCAGTGGCTTTCAATATCATATTAGTTTACTAAGTGGAGTTTCAACTGTTGAAATTCAGTAGAATATAGATTTTTCTTAGACAGGATTAACATGAGGGTTCTTGTGAACGCCGGTGTGTCTTTCAGGCTTGAAATAAAGCAGTGATCTTACTGCTGTTTATTTTTTCATTCAACTGGCACAACCGTATTGTCACTGAACTCTTGTGCTTGGACAGGCTTTGATATTGTAGCTGATTGAGCTGGAAAGGATCCTCCACAGGGCTCTCATCCATCTCGTTCTTCAAGCTCTTATTTCAGAAACTGAGATGGGTAAAGATTTTTGGTTTTATTATTTTGGACTTGAAACCACCAGTAGATTGAAAGTCTAGTAGAAGAAACTTTGTGCTTGTTGGTGGTTCCACCTCAAGAAACAAAATTGTACTGTCTGGCTTTGCAGCAGATTAAAAATATAATACCAATCTGAGACATAGTACAATTTGGGCACAAAATTCCAGTGATTATTTCAAGGGAAATACAATATGTACTTAATCATCGAGGCAGTCTTACTGATTTTTGCTGATTTTTGATTAAGCAAAACAGACAGACAAACACAACAAACATTGTTCTTTGTATTAGAGGCCTCTACCTGAAATCAGTATTTCTGTATTACACGGGATTTAAAAGACCCTTATCAAGAAACGATTCGTATTTCATGAAAGACCCACTGTGCTTATGTTTCACATTGTACCTCACAATTCTTGCCATTTAAATCACAGGCACTTTGAAGACATAGAAGGGCTGTTACTGTGATTTTTTTTCCCATAATCATTGTTCCCGTTGCTTCTAATACAACATTCATTGTAAATACACTCAGTGGGTCGATTTTGCTCTTACTTATAAAATCCACTTAACCTTTCCAGGTTCCAGGAAAAGTGTTTTGTTCCTTAGTAATGATGCAGGAACATTTCTTAGCAATGCTTCAAGGAGAGGGGTTTTTAAAAATATTTAATTAAGGTTTTACACAGGATAAATATAATTATCAATGACAGCCTACCCAGTCACTATACTTTATATTAAGGAGCATACAAAGAACCTTGTGCATTAAGGATGAAGAGTTTGAATGTTAGTCCCAGAATCCACTGAGTTGTGTGAAACCCAACAGAATTTCCTTTTTCATTTGCATGGAAAACACTATGAAAGCTTGATTTCCAGGAGTCATATAAGTCAATGACCTCATAAGGTTTCCATGTCCATCAAGGTAATTTTTTTTCTGTCTGTACTATTCAGGAACAATAAATATCCCACTTCTGTATGTCACAAATGCACCAAAGGTGATCTTCACATCATGAAAATCAGTTTCCTATATTGTGAAAACCTGTAAAACACCCTTCATGTAGTTGCAAAATCTCACCTGCACTACAAAACCGTTTTTTTGCCACATACCTTCTTTTTGTTGGTGGAACAAATGTAGAAATTGTCAATAACAGTGGCAATCCCAGGCTGTAGATTCAACTTTGTGTATAATGTCCCAAAATCTGAAGACCTGAAAGAAATCAAACATCTGTAAGTGCTCTCTTCTAAAGGCTTCAGCATTGAAACTCTGCAAAGAAAATTCCTCTCTGTGCACCAGTGTGCCATTTTCAATGCTTCTCTGTCATCCTTTTGTTCTTTTCAATGCTCATTAGCCACTAAAATAAATCCACTATTATAAAGGAAACCAGGTTCTAGATTTGAAAAAACTGGCTAGTTCTGTCTGTACTTTGAAGTTCTCTGCAGTGCTAGTTTATTTTGTTCTGTGCAGTGCCAGCAACCTGACATATACTTCTTTCCATCATTACCCACAAGGTGGAAAAAAAGAGCTATGAAGAGCACAGGCTCATTGGCAAGTATTAACAGCACCTCCTCAGCTACGCAGAAAAAGAAGAGTCGACTTCAGAGCTTGCTCTTGCATAAGAGAAGAATTTGGCCTGAGATCTGGAAGACTCACATTACACCTCAAGCAGAATTAGTACTGGAAGGTATCCCATCTACTCCTCCAGCTCTTTTTCAGAGGATCACTCAATTTTGAATTAAAAAAAGGAAAGTCAGTATTTGGCCATCAGTACATCACACAGGTGTCTCCATAAGTATTTCAAATGTGGGCACTCTGCAGAATTTGTTCCATATTCCTGAAAAGCCATCAGTGAAAAATGGCATCCATGCTCTGCAGTTGTATTGCCAAAGTCAATTATAGAAAGAACAGACAAGTAAAATGTTAATATAAGGAAAAGTTAGGGAAATTCAAAGCAAGTCACATTCAAATTTAAATCACTTTGGATGAAACCTTGCTTGTTCTGTTTAGGATCAAATTGTACCGTATGCCCTCTCCATATTTACAGTCATTCATTTTGCATTTGGAAAGGGACTCTGACACATCTAAGGCACTTGTGCCTTCTTCACCAAGAAGCACACCCTAGGACAGAGAGTTGGTATGAGGACTTCCCCTCTATACACCCTCTTCTCTCCCTGGAACAAGAAATAGTGCTGAAGGTACCCTGCCCTAACTCTTCATCATTCAAACAATTGGGAGCACTCAAAATCTCTCATGTGCAAGAGAGCCAAGACAAGACCGTCCTTCCCAGTGTGACACTGCACTGCCTGTGCAGTGATTTCTGCCCTATAGCCCTTTTCTACCATGTTCATTGTTCCCCAGCAGGCTCTGCTGCCTCATGCTCCTCACCCAGGGTAGTCACTGCTGAAGTTTGTGGGAGCATTGCTGAGTACAATGAGAGAGAACAGCGAAGAACCAAACCCCTGGCTTGTTTGAGTGCGTACACGCTGAGAACTAGCCCACTGTCTGAGGTCTCCTCCAGGCCACGTGAGGTAGCTTATTCCCTGAAGGGCTAGGGGCCACAGAAGGCCACCATGAGCATCCCACCTATGTCCCAGTGCCACTCAGAATGTCACTGAAGTTGGAGGGCATTGTTGTATGAAGCCAGAGGCGCCTTCTGTGTTTTCACCAATCCAGTCTTCCACGAGATACAGGAACTTTCAGCTGCTGTCATGGAGCAGCTTTCTCTTTCTTTGGCATCACCAAGCATAGTGGGCAGACAGTGATAAGCCTGGAACAGGTCCTAAGGAATAGCTAGAAAGGTTCATGTTTACCTTGCTTTTCTTCCTTCTCCACCAGTTAAAAAAACTCAACTGGTCATAAGACAATGAAACTCAGGCCATCCTCCAGCCTAAAGCCAAGAGTTTTACCATTTTATAGCATTATCTGAATAGATTTGACCTGGGATTTTTTTCCCCCTACAATGTTGCTTTCTCTGCAGATATACAGCAATGCATTAGAGAATTAACTGAATCATAGCAATTCGATTTCGACAAATAAATATGTAGATATCAAACACATAAAACTGCAGTGTACAACTGGGTGTTCAGCACAGAACTAATTAAAATTCTAAGGGGAATAGGCTGGACAGTGCTAAACCTAATTTGCCAGTGGTATTTGACAGAAATAAATTAAAGCAAAGACTTAAAATATCAACTTCAGACAGATGCACTGAAACCATGCAGAACAAGTGTGTATAATGGAAACATAACCTAGTCTATTCTTTTTGAGGGAAGAGTATAAGGTTGGTGGCTAGCCCAGTAATAACATCCTGAAATAATTCTCTGAACCTTAAAGATGATTAAATTTACTTTGAAGAGGCAGTTCCAGGATTAATACAATGGGACCACTGGAGAGTGACATCACGCAAGGGACACCATGGCAACTCTGTCAATGTGTGAAAGGAGTACAGGCAGGAAGCCCAAAAAAGATAAGTTCCAAGATATAAAAAGTTCCAGTCCAAAACTTTCCCTTCTAATGCTCATGACTTATAGAGAGCAATGCCAAAAATGAATGAGGTTTTAACAAGATGAGAAAACTAAGATAACTACGGTATCTTCAGACAAATGTAATAAAACTCTACAGTCAAAAATATTTTTTAAGGTAAAAAATTAGCAGTCTCAAGGGAAAAAAAAAATCCAGTTTCAGTCTGAGAAAATAGGTGACTGTATCTCCCAAAGAGTACACCATGTCTAAGCAGGAAGACCATGATTGGAAGAAGATCTGTGGATCTATGGAGTCAGAATGTATTCTGACTTCCAAATCTTTTTTTCTATAGCCCAGACTTGAGAGAGCCCAGGAATGTCAGCTATTCTTTGAGACATTCATGAACAAGAGGACATAGTTCAAGGACATCATTCAAGAGAGGCACTGTGAAAAATAATTGGTTTTCCAAATCTGCTATAATCCAGAGAGAACAGGTCACCTCTACTTTTTCACTTAAGATATAACTTTGAAGTTCCTGACTCTGCATATATAAAGAACTAACATTTTGTGGCATGCAGCTAGAACAGAATATCCTTTAGTTGTACTACTGAGCTACAGACAGTTAGGGAAGATGAATTTTACGATCCCAGTGCATGCCTATTTCAATATATATTTGCATTGTACAAAATTAAGGAGAGGAGGAGCCCTTTACAGTTTTCCAGTCTTTGTGAGATTTTTTTTTCTGTTAGGAACCCAGCTCATGCTCTTTCAGGAGTGTTAAGGAGATGGAAAAACCCCACATGAGTAATCTGCTTTTATCAGGATAAATGTATTCTCTTTCCTCCCTAAAATCATGAAAAGATATTTCAAGTTATAATGGAAAGAGGATACAGATGTACCTGATGAGAAGAGTAAAACTTCCTCCTATACCACAGTTTATTTGAAGTGGAAGCAAAACAGCAGAACTCCACAAACCAGTTCTAATTAACACAGTTAATTAGAATTTTGGCTTTATGCAACACATTGCAGGGGAAACAGCAAGCTATACTCAGGCTGCTTCCTGCTGCTGTGTATCCCCTGTTCACTACGGCCACAGATTACAAAGATGTTTCTTCATTCAAAAGCAAATTTCACTGGAAGATTCACGGGATACACATCTTCCAGTACTCAGGTGACAGAACCATTGGATGATGGGACAACATGATTACTCACATACTGATGCAGATATCACAAAACCTGGGCCTGACAGTTAATAGCTTTTTTTGAAGTCATCTACATGTTTCTGCTTTAATATGTGCTAGTCTCTTTTTTTTTTTTTTTTTCCTTTATGGAAAAACTCAGTTCTCACTGTAAGAACAGCATGTTCAGATAAGAGTCCTCAAAATCATACAATGATATTACACATAGACATAATTAGGTCTTTTTAGCTTAATATTGTGAGCTCAAAAAAAATAGTTGGGAAAGCATCCAAGTGGTAAAGAAATCTACCCTGATGAAATAAAACTCCCAAAGCTCCTAAGCTCTGTGCAAATTTAGGTCTCACCCTCAAAAATGTAACTTTTTAGATCCGAGGTAAAATAAATCTATGTCTAACATAATTTGGAACTGTACTTAAACATTGGATCTGGATATTTTCCAATAGAAATTTTGAGGAAGAAGAAATTTAGCAGATACCAAAAGCGACATCAAATGCTTGCCTTTCTGAACTTCACTATCATTATAAAGCTCTCCCCTGGTGACTCACACCTATAGTTGAACATTGCTCATTGTTAGTGGTTTTCCAGGTTATATTTACAAGTAGATATTTAAAAATATATAAGAAAAATTAAAAATTAATAAATTAAGATGTTGATGAAGATTCTTAGAGATGAAAATTGCATTGCCAAATCAAATGTAATACTCAAAGAACACATCAACTGCAAAAAAATGCTTCCTTTTTTTTTTAATGAATTGAAGAGACACACTAGAAAGAAAATGGTTGGAACACTTAACATGCATGTTCATCAGATTTCCTCTACTTTTTATTCTTGAAGACTAACTCAAGATCCATTCTAGTCAAATGAGTCATATTGTACAAGCTCCATTAACTTAAAATCCTGGAAGACAACAATGAAGAGATTTCAAATGCCTCTTGGACCACTTAACTGGTGAAATTAAAAAAAAAAATGTCTTTGAAAGAAAAGAATACAAAAAATCTGCAGGTTTAGATAATTGGGAAATTGTTGGAAAAAAAATTCAATTGAGATGCACATTAGAGAATCAAGGAAGAGTGGATCTGTACATAAACCCACTGGAGTGATTGCCACTTAATTTTCTCCAGACTCTGTTGCAAATGTTGTCTTCCCACCTTCCCCTCCTTTCAGTCAGCAGAACAGTCCAAGATTTACAGCATGAGCTTTTAAAATGCAGGAGAAATTATTTTAGGTTCTTGCTCTGTGGCAGACTTACAGCTAACAGTAGGATTTCCTTTGTTCTCTGGTCTTTCACCTGAATAATAAGACAACACTGTCGGCTATACCTCAAATGTCTGTAAGGAAAATAGATAACTAGAGCAGAGAAATGAAGAACTGGCTGATGGAGGATGTAAAACAGATACATCAGAGGTTCCAGCAACAAATACCAGGACAACCCTACTGAAAGGGAAGAAACCAGAGGAACATCATTAAAGAAGTGGAAAACTAACTCATCATCTTCACTTAAACAGTACAGAAGCCTTCAAAGGCTTTTACACGTCCAGTGTGGAAACT